TATTTGGAATACATATTAGAAGAAATGATCCTATTTTCTGTCCATTTTACTTAAGTGATCTCCTTTTCTACTGATAAAGCATACATATCCATAACTCCTTGTTTCCTATTTTTACAGATGAATGTGTTATTGGAATGTTTCAGAACGTATTCATGGAATTTAAGAGTATTATCAACATACACTAAAGTTTGGGTTCTACAGAGGGTTATTACTTTAAATATTCATTTTTGGTATTTTTATTTATTTGCACATTTTATAAGAAAGTTTATAAAAGTAATAAAAAAACAAATCATGAAATACACTTGAACAGTCTTACGTCATATGGCACAGACTTCCAGATCTAATTTTGTTAAAGAAAACTTTTTATTTTATCTTCAGACCAGAATTTTCCTCTCTGAAGGATATCATCATTTAACTATGACTGAAAATAGAACTTTGTTCCTTTTTATCATGTTTACCAATTATATGGTTACTGGTAGCAAATAAAGTACACACAGAACCATTTTTTATCTTGTTTCCCCACTTTGCCGTCTGTGTAATTTTCACCAAGTCCTGTTGCTTCTTTTCTATGCTCAAATGTATTTCCACTTACTTATTCCCTCAACTACGTGTGCTGGAAATGGGGCAATAAATGGATTTCTGTCCCCTTTTCTCTTTCTAATCTCTTTCTGTGCATTTCAAATGAGTTTGTTGGAAATTCTTCCCCTGTGCTATTTTCCATCACAGCACATTAATTCCCACTAGGATTAAATTAACCTCAATGTATGACTTAGGAGCCACTATCTCTGGTTGGTTTTCTAGGGATAGTCGCTGCTTTACCACTTTTGGGATTTCTGGGATGTGTCTCATTATTGTTATTGTATTTCTATGCAGTTGTGAAGTGGTCCTGGAAAAGTATCCTACAGAGCAGTGCAGTCCCTGCCTTCAGTCTCACCAAACAGCTGATGTCAGGTTGAGAATCTGGTGGTGGGGATGAAGTTTAGGAATGATGTGGGTAGCCCACATCTAGAAGGGAAGATGAGGAACAGCCAACAGATTGGCTAAAGTAATACAGGATGTCAATGATCTAGGAAAAGATGAATGAAATAAAGGTCATCTCTCAAGCAACTGTGTGCTGGAGAAACACCAATAAAAAAGAGGCAATTGTCTGAGAATGGGGGCAGGGTTTGAAGGGGATTTAAAGACGAGACCTCAAGATTTTCTGAGATCATTGAACAAATATCAGCAATGTTTTTGTATGATAACCAAGGCCAGGGTAATTGTCAAGGAGAGAAAAACTCAAGTAGTTTAGGTAATTGCTGGGAATTTTCAGTTAGAATTCTGTGATGTTATTAGCAGCTAAAATGAGTGTGTCTTTGCCAGAAAGTAGGCAGATAATAGTTTAGCCTTATTAATGTTGGAAAAGATAATCAATACACCATAATCTATTTAATATAAATTTAATATTTTAATTATAACTATTATATTAATGAAACTATCAGTGTTTGCTTGCCTCTTATTTTACTTTAGTTTAAGTAAGTAGAGTCAAATGTAGTTGATATAGTAGCATAAATAATACATGCATATTTACATATGTGCACATAGTTACATCTACCCCATATTTAATGAGACATTTGTGAGAATCATCTGTACTGTAACATGCAGTTGAAGTTTAGTCATCCATGCCAATCACTGTATATTAAATCCTAAACTAATCATGAAGTCTATTGTTAATGGACTAATGGAGGTTGTATAGTTTTGTTTTTTAAGACTCTTACAGAGTGTTGTTACAAAACTTTTAATACAGCCTTTAGAAGCCAGTGACTTATGACTGTAGGAACTCAGGTTAGAGAATTTGCTGTTATATATTTTTTACATTCTAGCAGCAGTGGGCACTAGCAGACAGCAGCAAGTATTACATTACCTTCTAGTATCAAAAGTCTCAGGTGCTAGAGTGCTCATCCCCACAACAACAAAGATTACAAATTCAAGGCTTATACTGTAAGGACATCCTGTCCTTGGTAGGGTAGTGTTTCAGCTCTTGGCCCTAAGAGAGACTGGGAACTCTTCCTGTGACCAGTGGCCAGATATCTAGTGTATAAATGGACCACGTTTTCTTTACCCGTTCATCTGTTGGTAGACATTTAGTTTATTTCCATTTTTGGCTATTATGAATAGAGCATCAATAAACATGGTTGAGTAAGTGTCCTTGTGGTAGGATGAGGTGTCCTTTGGTTATATGCCCAAGAGTAGTATAGCTGGGTCTTGAGGTTGATCGATTCCTGGCTTCATGAGGAACTGCTGCACTGATTTCCATAGTGGTTGTATGAGTTTGTATTCCCACCATCAGTGAAAGAATAACCCCTTACTCCATATACTCACTAATTGTCTGTTTTATTGATTTTAGTCATTCTGAATAATGTAAGTTTAAATTTCAAAGTAGTTTTGATTTGCATTTCCCTGATGACTAAGGATGTTGAACCTTTTTGTAAATGTTTCCCAGGTATTTGAGTTTTCTCTATTGAGAATTTTCTGTTTATATCTCTACCCCATATGCAAATGGTTTATGTATTTCCTTTCTCTCTTTCCCCAGCTGTAAAGCAGCCCGTAATTAACATTGTAAGCAAGAGGAGAACTGTATGACGTCCAAGTGCTCCTGCATGTATTATTTGTGAAAAGTGCACTGATGCATTGCTTGGCTTTGTGTGGAGTCTTTCTCCCTGCTGCTGGCAGACTTTGTTTAGTTAGCTTCTCCATCCACCAGCCCTGGGTAAACAGCACTGCCAACTGGCCTGTCTTTCCTCCCATCAGTTCTATTCTGAGACAATTTTTTTCAAGGTCTTTCTTTTGTGGCCACTGCGAAGGTCTTTCTGGGGGAATCACAGAAAGTCTTGGTGACTATCCCTATTGTATTCTGCATCTTTGTAGACCACTTACTTGAGCATGCTTCTCTTTGAATGCACTCATTTATGGATTGCATTGGGCAGAAACATGTTTAAATGTTTCATTTGCTGTGTGTTCCTTCAACCAGATGAGTTTTTTATCTTTCTATTCACAATATAAAAATGAGCTTTAAGTAGCAGAATAATTGATTTAGTGGTCTTTTAGGCACTGGCCATTATTATGCTACCAGTTTGTAACCTGTATTAACTAATAAAACCAAAGGAATTTACATTGCTAGAATGAGTAGTGGTGAAAGAAATCAGCATGTTGATTTTATGCTTTATGTGAAGTGCTTATGCCATGTGTACAATATCCTACAAACAAGTTGCAAGTGTTCTCATTTTTATATGAAAAAACAATACTGAAGGAGGTTCACTGTGCATCTGTTACTGACCAATTTGTCTAAGACCAGTAAAAGACTGACTTCATACGAAACAAATTTCATAATTTTTTTACTTATAGATATGTAGCAAGGAACAACAAAATCCTGGAATTTATTGTGTGCCTGTCTCCCATGGCTCTAGAATGACCTCAGGTTATATACATCTAGGAGCTTAGTTTTCATTCTCCTGAACAGTTAGCTGAGCTGTTAGGAACCAGCAGAACTTGTGAAATTATAGTAAAATATGTTTGGTATTACAGGTGGTCTGGTCCATTGGATGGACCATCCTCATTTTGTATCTGTCCAAAGATGTTCATTCGTTAGCTAGAAGGTGGCTGCAGTCCTATCATTTGTGTCTGCCCATTAATTGGCAAACTTATTCTGTACTGTCAGTCAGTGTGCATGATTCTCGATTATTGGACCCATGTCAACCGTGGAAGAAGCCAAAGCATTTCCTCTGTATGGTTTATATGATCTTTCAGGTACCCTACCATTCATTAATGGGACTGCTGGTCCCTTGGGGGTCCCAACTAAGCTTCATCTTGATGGTACTATTTCCGTTTGATAACTGAGCTCTGCTGAACTTGCCAGTTTTATTGATGGGATTTGTAAGAGCCCAAATGAGAAGAGCCAGTTCATACTGCAGAGTCACATGTGGGTATCTGGCCTTAAGCTGCTTGGCTTTCACAGTGCTAAGCAGGGAACAGCCATTCAAAAGGAGGATATAACTTCTAGCTGCTCAAGACAACTAAAGTCCTGAACTGGAGAGTCTACTGTGATCAAGTAAGAGTTTTCTAATCCCAAGATTCAACCAGCCAGCTGGGAATTGTAGAGGCCTATAATGCCAGTGGGCAAGCAAGCTGTGAAGTTTTACATGCAGAGCCTGGGATATGACTTGCTGCTGTCCCAATGGGCACTGTCCAAAGTTGACAAGAAAGAATCACCAGGGTTCTCTGCACTCTGGAGACCTACTCAGTGACAAGATAGGGTGGCAGCTTGTTTCAGGGAAAAGTAAGGAGAGAAACCTGCTTTCATTCAAATTTTACACAGACAGCCATGCTACACTGGGATTTCTGTATCAGTACACTTTTGTAATAGTGTTAAAGATACTTTCTTACAATGATTGCTTTATAAACATTCTTCATGTGGAGGTGAATTACTGGTATTGTAGCTTACACCCTTATAGGTGAGCAGAAACACCAGAGTTAGTGTGGACTTGAAGGGTATGCAGTGAGTCTAGAGAATTTACGTTTGAGTGGCATGCTGAAGCCTTTATTATGGAGTCACCAGAATGTGTGAATTTGATTCACAGCTGATCTTGGGGTCTGTGTACCACTGCATGTGCACAACTGTACATTTATCCCCTTGGGGAAAAGCCCATAGGGTATCAAAGGAGCTTGTGTTCTAGAAGACGTTTATGTACGGGCTCGTTTTAGGTCAACTTGACACAGGCTAGAGTCATCACAGAGGAGGGAGCCTCAATTGAGAAAATGTTTCCATAAGATACAGATGTAGACATTTTCTTAATTAGTTATTGATAAGGGAGGGCACAGCCCATTGTGGGTGGGGCCACCCTTGGGTAGGTGGTCCTGGCTTTTCTAAGAAAGCAGACTGAGCAACCCATGAGGAGCAAGCCAGTAAGCAGCACCCTTCCATGTCCTCTGCATCAGCTCCTGCCTCCATGATCCTGCCCTGCTTGAGTTCCTGTCCTCACTGCTTCTAACGAGGAACTGTTGTATGGAACTGTGAGTGAAATACCCCCTTGCTTCCCCCAGTTGCATGGTGTTTTATCACAGCAATAGTAACCCTAATCCAAGGCAATTTACAATGACTGGTGTAGAAATTGCAGTTGTGTAATATACTTTTTAAAAAGAGCTAATCTATTCACTATTTTAAGAGGAAATCATTTAAAAGTTACCCATTTTGTATAAAAATGAAAATAAGATGTAAACTGAGTAGCCCCTCAAGCCTCTTAAGGATTCTTTCTCTTTTTAATTTCTTTTGTACAATTCTTATATGACATCGTACTATTGCCAGTTTTGGTAGCTTTGGAGATAGCTATGTTTATGTTTATATACTCTGTACCTGAGGTTACTGTTATTATTAATTGGCATTTGCATATATATGCATATATAATGAATTCTGCACTTTCTTATCCCCCCACACCAATTACATTCCCCCCCACTTCTCAATAAGCCCCCCCCAGGCATCTGGTTTTGAACCACTGAGTTTAATTATAATTGCTTGCATCCTTGTGCTCAGACTCTGGACCCCAAAACCGCCAAGAGACCAGATCCAACGCGAAAGCAAGGAGTCCTTTTAATTATGAGTTAACTCAGAACTTCTGTCTGTCCGATGCAGTGGGTGGGGTAGGATGGACCCTGAGCCACAGGGGGGCAGGCCATGCATGGGGTGGGTAGAACAAGGAGGTATCTGGGGCCCGCTAGTTGCATAGTAACAGTTTCAGGATCGGTGCACCTCCAGGCTGGGGGAATCTTTCCTGAGTTGATTGGTCAGCTGCAGCTGCAGAGATGCTGCTATGCCTAGAAGCCATCAGAGGGCCATTGCTACCTACTGCATTCCACTATTGTCAGTGACGGACATCCAGAGCCTACCAGCTAACTTCTGATTGATTCCTTACCACATGGAGGTTATTTGACAGTTTCTTCCCAGTGATTAAGGCAAGGCTGGGCAAGGTTGTGGGCTTAGGATGGAGGATATTTGACAGTTACTTCCTAGTAATAGGGCAAGGTCTGGCAAGGACTCAGCACATCTTGCTGAGTCTGGCACCTACACCTTGCTGGGTCTTTTTGGCTGTCAAAGTGTGTGTGGCAGGGGAGTTGGGTGAACGTCTGGTTCCTTCAGGATGAGCATGAGTGAAGGGTCATTTGTTGGCACAAAACAACTTACTAGTGACTACACGACTGAAGAAGCTGATACTCTCTCTCCCCCAGCATCCATTAGCTACTCACAGTCCATCAGTAGGGCTTGAGGGCTCAGGAGCAACTCCCTCATGCTTTGATGAAATGGTGGTGGGACCAATCATGTATAGATCTTGTGCAACTGCGGGGAATTTATACGCGACACTGGGATATCTTATCTCAGAGGCAACCCCATTCCAGCCTGAATGCTCTCCTCCTAGGATTATTTCTCAGCCTGAACACCTCCCCCAACTTTCCTGCAGCTTGTGTGGTTCTAATTTCCTAAAGTCAGTTTCCTGAACTCATCACTACAAATACTGTTCCTGCCTGTGCTGCTTTAACTGCTAACCACACCTGGCCAAACTAGATCTGTTTTTTTGATCATCCCAGCTCCCCAGCTCTGAGAACAAACAGCTCTGGACTGTAAAAGAAGCTATGTCTCTCACCTGTACTGAGAGCCCGTCTCTGGTTTGTTTAGAAGACAGGCCTGCCCCCCCCACCCCCAGTGCCTTGGAGGCCTTAGACTTTATTTTCTTCTTACAACAGGTCTGATGGCTCTGCCCTGCCAGAGGCAATGTTTAGCACTATTCTCTCCAAACACTGGCTCTTGCATTCATTCTGTTTCCTAGCTACAGCATTCCCCCGCCTTGGAAGCTGTGATACAGATGTCCCTCTTAGGGAAGAGTGCTATGTAGTCCTCTATTCTCTGAACTCAATCCCTGTGAGTCTGCATTAACTAGCTTATGAGAAAAAGAGAAACATTTAGGGGGCTGGAGAAATGGTTCAGAAGTTAAGAGTCCTGAGTTCAATTCCCAGCAACCACATGGAGGCTCACAACCATCTATTAATGAGGTCTGGTGCCCTCTTCTGGCATGCAGGCATACATGCAGGCAGAACACTGTATAGATAATACATAAAATCTTAAACAAAAAGGAGAAACATTAAGAGCAGTTTCACTCACCCATTTAGTACACTTTCTCCTGGGCCTATGGCCTCCCAGCTTGACTTTTGTTGTTATGGTTAGAAAACTGGTGTCTAGGTATATTATATGATATAAAGTTTCATTTCAAGGTAGTAATTAGGATATAAAGCCTGTCATTTCTTAAAGAGAAAACATTTGTCTAATAGGTTTGAATAAATCTAAAAGTTCCAAATTACCTGCAAACTCTACTGATTCTTGCAAAGGGAAGAGAAAAGATTCAATGTGGATGACTTGGGGACGGGGCACAGAGAGAGGCTGGGGGTACCTGAAGAGTAAAAAAACTTCGACAATTAAGAAGAAGAAAAATAGATATCTCTCTTTCTCTATCTCCCCTTTCCCTCACTCCCTCCCCCTTCCCTTTATCTCCATGTGTAAATGTTCTATTCTATTCTGTCTTGTCTTTCTTCACATCTTAATCGAGCAATGCTGGCATATAATACATCGTTAATTGATTCATATTCCGTACAAGTACTAATTCATTTGCCCTTATCCCACCCACATCAGGGTTCAGTAGTACTAACAATGGAAAGGATAATAAGTGAATCTAAATTTAATCCCTTTTTGTTTAAACTAATCTCTTTCTAATTAATGGCTGCTCATAGCATTATTGCTAATGAATCAGGAGACCTCCACATCTGTGCAGGAAGCTCTCTGTTAAATTGTTAATTCAAATTCAAAGGGGTCCAACTCTCCATTGTTCCCTCGGTGACCTTTTGACTAATGAAAAGGGAAAGGGTATCTGAAATACAAAAGAGGGAATGGACCCTCTCCTGTTGTACACAGCTCTTAACTCTGGGTTGCATCCTGGCTTTCTCTACATGTTTTACATAACGTACATTTGTGAGGGCTGTGTTCTTTGGAACAGACAATGGACTGCATTGTGATATGACAGTGATCAAGGCAGAATAAAGAATTGAGAGGAGAGAGTTTAAAAACTGCATTCCAGTCTCCTATCACACCTTACCTAGCTCAGATTACATAAGGCCCAGGCTGGCTCTGAGTATGAGCACTTTGGGAAATGCCCACCGGGTGGTTTCTCCTTGATAATTGACCTACAGTCCAATATATACAAAGGACAAGAGAACCACTGCAATCCAGTACGGATTACCATATTGGGAAGTGATGAGGAGCAAGGGGCATTCCATCCCTCTAGAATCTGGATCCCATCTTCCTCTGTTAAGTCCCAAGAGTATGGGCCATATTTTATCTGACTGGTATATCCGTAGTTGCTATGATTGTGTCCTTGCAGTTTTGAGGCACACAAGTAGCATTTTTAATGCATGAGGTTTCAATAAATTGTAGGAAGGTTTAATCAGAACAAGTTACTACTGTGGTGAGTAGGTAGCCCATACAAGGCAGCTGCTGGAGGTTGGTACTGCCAAGCCTACAGAGCCCAGAGGAGCTGAAGACCATCACAGACAGCAAAACCACTTCCTCTTAGGATGGGGTTTACTTCAATGTAGTTTTTCCATAACATTTGAAGGCTTTCAGGTAGAATTTTTTTACACATTGTTCTTTCCTTGGCTTAATGGTTTAAGCAATTTTGAACTTCTTAATTGTCAAACACGTAGTAAATTAGTCCTGTGGGAAAGGTCTTTGCACTCTGCCCCTCCCTAGTCAGAGTGTCTGCTTTTGACCTTCACATATGGTGAGGCTGGTGTGTACAGAGAAGCTAATACCCCAGATTCTCTGACCAGAGCTAGTCAGGGGATGGCCCTCACCTGTTCTGTGGAAAGAGTGGGAGTCAGGGATGTCACAATACTCACTAACACCTTTATGACCCTAGGAAAATGTCCTCTATAGACTGAATGGAGACATCCCTCAAATTCATGTGCTTAAATCCTAATCTCAAGATAATGGAATCAGGAAGCAGAGTTCCCATGAGTGTAAGTAGTATCCTTCTGAATGAGACCCCAGTGAGCTCCTTCACCAAGCCAGATATGAGGGGCAATATGAAAAAGAGCCTCCTATAATACAGTAAGGAATCACTTTAGCCCATTGGTTTTGGATTTCCTGGCTTTCCTAAACATACTAATTAATTTTCTGATGCTGTGATAAAATACTGCATCCAAAGACAACTTAAGAAAGAAATAATTTATTCGGGCTTAAAGCTTAGAGGCAATGTCCATACTAGCAGGATAAGCCAGTGCAAAAAGCTGAGAGATCGCATCCTCAACAGTAAACACAAAGCAGAGAGTAAAATGGAAATAGGGCAAGGCTTATAAACTCTCAAAGCCTACCTGCTAGTGATGTGCTTCCCCCAGTCAAGGCTGGGCTACCCCCAAGTAGCACCACCAAATGGGGATGAAGTGTTCAAATGCATGAGCCTCTGGGGAACATTCCCATTCAAATTATCCACAATGTCAAGTGTGAGCAATAAATTTCCATTGTTTATAAGTCATCCGATTTATAACACTGTGGTATAGAAGCTCAGATGAATTAAGACAATATTAGTTGTATAAAGCATATTCCAATGCTCTCTGTCCTGCATTGCCCCAAGAAACAAAGTTGCATGTAAGTTTGAAGTCAGAACACATGTAACTTAGGCTGGGGGGCATGAAGCACTCACCCTGCATAGCTTGCAACAACAACAGTAACAACGTCTATCAGCCTTAGGCTTCTCAGTTATTTTTTGGGTAATCTGGTGGAGCTCCTTCTCTCTGGACAGCAATTTCCTCTATGGTAAAATAGAGATATTAGGAGATTTTATAGGACTCCGATATGTGAAGTGGGTAAAACAATTGATGTCTAGAAACAGAGACAGAACCATCTCTGAATGTGCTTATGGGAAATCTCAATGCTTTCCCCACCCGCATGTTCTTGGTATCTGCTCCACCTAGCC